TTTTGCTATTTTTTACTTTCCTATCTGTATAAGGAAAGTATAGGAATCATGATTTTTTTTGACCTCGAGTTTTTGACGGATTTCTACATTTTGAGGTCCCCTGAATCTGTTTTGACCATTTTTGCGATGATGTCTGTGTGTCGCATAACTCATGAACCGATTCACAGAAAAACACCAAATTTTAGACTTAAGCTTTATTCCAGCGTCTTTTTTATATTTTATGGAATATATCTGTTATTTACGTTTGGAGAAGAAAATTATTCAAATAAAAGTTACTTCTAATGTTATTATCTATAATTTTTGTTACATACAAAATTTTCCATAAATGGTCCGTATTCGAGAAATTTGACAAAATGTAAAAAAAAATAATTTTTTATAAAAAGTGATCAAATAAAAGTTGTTTGTAATATAATTCTCTATAATTTTTATTTTAAACATAATTTCTCTAAAATGGACCGTATTCAAAATATTTAAGAAAATGTGTAAATTTCGAATTTTAAAGGAAACTCAAAAACGGATAAAGAAAAAAACATTAAATTTTAAACTTAAGGTTTATTTCGGCCTGACGTGACAAGATTAGATTTTGGACAAAGTCGGAACATCTGGGGGGTACTTTATGGGAGGCCGTTTTTATATTTCATGGAATACAAGGTGTGACAATTAAGTAATGAGACCGATTTTATTGTCGCACTTGTGGTAAACTTGCGACCTTGAAACTCCCTTTCCCCTTCTCCGACATCTTTTCCCTTTCCCTTAATATTTGTACCATCTCTCTAGTTTGTTTAGTTTGCCGGCTGTGTCGAGTTTAGTAGACGGGTGTTGGTGGTGTTCGTCAGGATAAATGGAGAAGAAAAATCTAGAGCAACGCGTCGCGATTAAATTTTGCGCCAGATTGGGCGAAACAGCTTCGGAAACTTACAGTAAAATCGTAAAAGTGTATGGTGATAGTGATCTTAGTTGTGCCCAGGTGTTTCGATGGTATAAAGCGTTGAAGACCAGGAGCGGAGCGAGAGACCAGTCGAGGTGCGGACTGACCTTTTTTGATAGCCGTGGAATTGTCCATAAAGAATTTGTTCCATCGAGACAAACCATAAATTAAGTCTACTATCGCGAAGTACTCGAAAGATTGCGAAAATGAGTCAACAGGATGCGCCCAGACATCGCAAACAACTGGATCCTTCACCACGACAACGCGCCGTGCACACCGCCCTCAGCGTGTCCCAATATTTGGCCTCTAAAGGGATTACTGTGTTTCCACAGCCGCCTTATTCACCTGAAATGTCATTCTGTGACTATTTTCTGTTCCCTAGAGAAAAATCGATGTCAAAGGAACCCATTTTGAGTCGGTTACGGACATACAAAAGACCGTGACGAGGGTACTCGCAGACATCCCAGTTGAAGCGTTCCAGAAATGTTGTGAAGCGTGGAAAACGCGCTGGAAACGTTGTATAGCTGCCCATGGGGACTACTTTGAAGGGGATGGTAGAATAATTACTTAATTGTCACACTTCGTATATCTGTTATTTGTTTGGAGAAGAAAATTGTTTAAATAAAAGTTACTCCTAATATTAATATCTATAATTTTTTTTATGTCAATATTTCCTGAAATGGTCCGTATTCGATAAATTTGACAAAATTGGTCAAAAATCATATTCTAATTATGGTAATACGTATAAAATGCACCATATTTCAGTAATTGATATTCCTAATTTTTTGAACACGCAGTATAATTTATTTTGAATAGTGTAAGTAAGCATAAATAAACCATATACAAGTGTAACACATGATATAAATTTCATGGAAAAAACAAGAATTACTAAGGCGAACGCCCACCGAAGTAACGTGATGCATAGCATATGACATGGCGCGTGCAGCATGACCACGATGTATATAGCGTGGCTCAGTTGACGCCTACTAGAGTGATAAAAGTTAGCAGAAGCAAAGGAAATAGCAGGAATTGGCAGTCGGTACTTGTATTTTGTTGCTTCGTGGTGAAATAATGTCATCATCAGATGAAAATGACCTAGCTGTAGTAAATTTAATTAATATTAATTCTTTATTGATCTTTTCTTACCTATGCTTTTCTTGCAAATTCCTATTGGAATAATCATTAGAATTATAATCATAGATCAGAGGATGTTTTTCAACAGTTGAAACAAATTGAACATTAAATTCCGGATTGTCTTTCATTGATTAATAGATACATATACAAATACACACCAAAATACAACTACCGACCTTCTGACGTGGCAAGAAAATAGAACGCGTTCTATTTTTATTGCAGTCGCATGGCGTGCTACGTGGCACAACATACACCTTGCGAGTCTTGCCACTTTGGTGGGTTGCTGTTTATGTGTTTACGTTTGTTCAATTTGCCACAGCATGGTAGATGTGTGCGACTTGCTAGATCATACGCCATGCCATAAACCACGTTACTTTGGTGGGCGCTTTGCCCAAAGAGTGATGGAGATATGTTTGAAAATATTAATTCTACACTCGCCCTATATAGAGCTGCCTACTTGAGGTCCATAAGAAAGTTACCCCTAATGACCTGAAAAATACCATACTAAAATTTTACAAAATTTTGACAGTGCCCAAAGTCAATGTTAAAAGTGCGGGGTCCTTTGACATGTCTTCTAAAAAATGCAGCATATATCATTCAAAAATACTGAAATTATTCCTATTTCAAAAACAGGTAATAAAGAGTTAAAATATAATTTTCTAAACATTTTAATTAGTTATAAGTAACTTAATTTCACTTAATGTTTTGATCTATCCAGATACTTTGTTTCAGATGTGTATGATATTTTTATTGTGCTACTAGTATGCATATTAATAATTATTTGTTTAAAGCCGGGAAGACTCTAAGAATCAAAAGAAAATTATATGTAAAAATGTTTATTAAAATTTACAGTTAATAACTTTTCTTGAAACCAGCTTAATATTAACCCAGATAGCACAGGACGTCCTAAGGACGTCCAATACATGTCCATTTTACGTCTGTCCAGTTTAGTAAATCCTCTGGACGTCAAGAAATAAATATCCGCAAAACGTCAATTGTACGTGCTTTACTATATTTCCATGGATTCACATTCGCATTGTATTATTATTTGGTTATATTATACAAAAAACATATGTAATGAGATAATATAAATAAATATTAAAGATGGCATTGTCCCAATATCCAATTGAATAAAAGCCAAATAGACAAAAACGAAGAAGATCTTTTGCAAGAAAGTGACATTGTTGACAAGTGACTTTTTATTTATTTAGATATGATTCAGATTCAAGCACTGAAGTGAAATATTCCCATTATATCTGAGAAAGGTGGAAGTTTTTCAAAGCTAAAATGTTAGTGAATTTATAATGTCTAGCAAGGCAAACTGAAATTAACAGATTGGATTTTAATTTTGATATGCCTTTTATTTTGAATAAGCGATTCAATTTTTTTTCAGATTCAGTTGAAAAGGCAATTATGACCAAATCAAGATAAAAACTGACTGCTGTCAATCCAGGCATGGTTGAAAAGAGCAAAGTAGAGGAGTTTTCCAGTGAATACTACAAAGCTAAAAAGTTAGTGAATTCATAATGTCTAGCAAGGCAAACTTAAACAAACAGATTGGATTTTCATATTGATCTGAATTTTGAATAAGCGATTAAATTATTTTCAGGTTCAACTGGGAAAGCAAATATGGCCAAATCAAAAAGAAACAAAAAACAACTGCTCTCAATCCAGGCATGATTGAAAAGAGCAAAGTATGAGAGACGGGATGAATTTGACGAAAAAGTTTTAATTATTGCACTATTTATAGGTTATTTGCTTTCAAATAATTTTTTTTGAAATTATTCATTATTTTCACTAATTTCCTTACATCCTATTATTCCCCATTCGAGCTTTTGAAAATGTCCATGGAATGTCCTTAAATGGACGTTCTTAAGATTATTAAAAATGGACGTTCCAAATACATCCATAAGACGTCCACGGCCGTGAAATGGACGTTTTAAGGATGTCCTGAATGTCCAAGCAGGGCGTTTTTAGAACGTCCATAAGACGTATTTGTGCTATCTGGGATGTCGGCAGCTCTACCGTAAAACAAAGTAACCAACATTTTTATCTAAATTGATATTTTGACATTGACTGTACTTAATTTCTTCCTAGCACACATGGGACGGTTAATCATGTAAATTCTAATGAAAAACAACGTACAGCATTGTATTTTGTTTTTCCTTGCAACAATAATATTATTTTAAAAATGGCCTAAAAGAGTAACTGCAGAGTAACTGCCTAAAAACAAATTACCACAAGAAATTTCTACAATAAACACCAGGTTGGTGCATCATAAATGATAACCAAAGCTTTATTAGTAGGATCCTTAAATACATTACTTATGTGTATATTAAAGATTATTGGCCCAAACACAGTGCTTTGCGGCATTCCATACTCTATGGTCATCACTTTCTGGACAGGTCTGTTCATTTTAAAAGAATGCTTTGTTTGGATCAGTTAGGAATGCAAAAATGTTTATTATTTTTTAAAACATACATTTTCCTAAGTACTTTACAATTTTTTGGGGTTAACAGTGTCGAATGTTTTCTCTAAGTCGAAAAGAGATGCAACGATTAATTTATTACATCCACCGATTAATATTTTTTTATTAAAGTAATTTGATTATTGATTATATTTAATCTTTTTTCAATAATACCAAAGCAAAGCATTGTGCGGTAGTCTTAGAAGTTAGTTAAGCGTAATTAGGTTATCAGACCCTAAGGTATACTAGCGATTAGAACTTTAGTTTGTATGATTGCAACCTTAGTTAGGTTAGAACAAAATTAATAAACGATATGGAGTAATTTAAAAAAAAAAAAATATTTTTTTAAATATATTTTTGTAAAGTTTGAAATTAAGGAGACCATAAAACATGTTTCACAATTATAATACCTCGTTAATATAAAACCTAGAATATATTATTTATTGTCAGTTAAAAAGAGAAACGACTTACCTTTGTATTCTGCCGACGCACTGATAACAGCCAGCAACACCAAGAAGAACCAATGGCGGTGGCTCTTGTAGGGCCTTATAAGTCCATTCATGGAGTCCGCGTGATTGTTACTTTAACACAAAAAGTTACCACAGTCTTGCAGTTATCGACGCAAAAACATTTTAATGGCTCTTGATAAATGTTTACGCGAACAGATTGGACGTTTTAAGTTTTTACACCCGCTTCAGACAAATTTCATTACGATTGCCGAAGTCGTAAGCGTTTTTTAAGTTTTAAAGGGAGATAACTTATTGGAATTCCCATTCTTAAATGACCCAGAGTGCTTTAACGACACTTATTATAAAAGAATGGTGTTATCTGAAAAGAAGGAAGTAAATCACAATAAAATATCATTGATCATCGTCAGAAGAAAAAAACATGTGTTGGATAATGGAGTGAAAAAATAAATTAACAATAAAAATAAACAAAACAAGTTTTAAAAAATTGCGTTCTATATGCTTTTTTTATAAAGATTATTGAATGTCATTAATGACGTTAAAGTGGACGCTTCTATAAGCTATATTAGATTTTAGATCCACTGACAATTAATTTCTAACCAAGCTTTTAACGGAAATTATTTTTATTGATTTTTTTTTAAGAGTTTTTGAGTTTTTGAATGCTAGATCCCTTGCAGTGAAGGGTTTGACGTTTCATTTAATTTAATTGTGGACAAAATATTGTTTAGTATCATAGCGTGCCTTGCTATTTTGTTTGTTGTTGCCAGAATGACATTTCCAGTGATTTATTTTTTATTTCTGTAGTTTAGGCGAGTAAGATGCCACATTTATCTGAGTTAGACTCTGATAAAATTGTTACTTTAGCCAGTGAGGGTTGCAGACAACAAGATATTGCGCAGAGATAACATTTACATAAATCGACTGTTTCTCGTATATTGAACCGATACAATAAGACTGGAGAATACAAAAGATGGCCTGGCCTGGTCAAGGTCATAAAAGATGTACAACGCCAAGGGATGACCGATATTTGCGAATAAAATCCATGCAAAATCGCTCACTTACCGCCTCGCGTCTGAAAAATGAATTATTTATTGGTAGACAAGTCAACCTAAGTGTCACAGCCGTTATAATAATACTGAAAGAGGTCGGTTTAAATCCGAAACGTGCATGCTGCTAGAGTCTCTAGGCTTTTTCCGCGTCACAAAATCAAACGGTTACAATTTTCAAGAGCCCATGCTGATTGTGAATGAACAACAACGGGAAAAAAATTCTTTTTAGAGATGAAACAAGAATACAATTGTGGAAGCCAGAAAGAAGTGTTCGGGTATACAGAAGGTCTAGGAAACGGAATGTAATCTCGTACAAAAAGTAAGATTTGGTGGCAACTCCATTACGCTTTGGGGAGGCATTAGTTAAAAGAGTCGCACGGAGCTTGTTGAGGTAAATTTAAGAATGGAAGCTGACTGATACATACGCAATATCGTTGAAGAACATGTTTTACCTTATGCCGGCTTTATTGGGTACGACGACTTTGTACTAATGCATGACAATGCTTGCGCCCATGCCGCAAGAATATTGACCCAGTACCTTTAGGATGTCGGGATTGAGGCACTAGACTGGCCACCATTGAGCCCTGATGCTAATCCCATAGAACAGTTATGGGACACCGTAAAGCGAAACATACGTGCACGAAATCCAGCTCCTAACCCAATTGCAGAATTAAGAATTGCAGCACAGAAAGAATGGAATCGAATTCCGCAAGAAACAATTCAAGATCTTTTGCGCAGCACGTCTAGGAGGATGCAGGTTATTGTTCGAGCTAGAGGAGGAAATACTAAGTACTAAATTGTTATTATCTTGTTTTAAAATACTGTTATCTTGTCGTTATTGTTACTTTTTAAAATGAAATCTTATAACTAAAATCAGCCTTTTTTATTCATTAACCCACGACAGTGGCGGCTCGTGGGCACTAGCGGCAGTGGGGCACACACTGGAAAGAAATCCCGGGATTCGTTTTTCCCTTAGGAACACAAGTTCTCCGCTTAATGAAAATTAAATATATTTTAAAACAAATTAAATATTATATAATTGAAGACCACCTGCTAGGTACCGCTGTAGTTGTATACAGCTTTACTCCTCTTCAACAAACCGTCTCTTCTTGCTTGTACTTGGACCTGATTGGGTGATGTCGTTTAAGTTTAGTTCTTGTGGGTCTTGTTGTGATTGCTATTCTTCATTCTTTTGAATGGCTGCTAAACAATTTGATATGTTTATTTTAACCTTGAGAGCATCGAGCTGTCTACTCTGCAGTTATTCAAAAAGTATATCGCAATTTGGCATTATTTTGCTGAAGAAAAATAACCAAAAACTAAAATCTGTCTTTCAAAATTTATCAACCCTTTAGTTTTTTTTTATCGAATTCTATGTTCATAATTTCTTCGAGACATATAATCAAATCCTCTTTATAAACATAAATAGTATTGACACACTTAGAAGTAAAATTCCATCATGTAGGAGCATTTTAAAGCATACGACTCTAAAGAAAAGGTGTTTGGCAATTTAAAATTTTCTTGCGAAAAATTTCTCTATATTTTCATATTAGAAAAAATATTTATATCTCTATTTGATAGTTTGTCAACTAAGCCTGTAATTTCCAACGCATACCTTTTTGAGATGAGCAAAATAAAATTTGGTCATCCTTGCCAACAATTTGCGAAAATGTACACCATTAAATTATTTATGACTTGGAATTTTTTATACTTTTAAATATGCAAACAGAGATTTGAAATCCTCGTAAAAGTCAGACAAACCAAAAGAAAAATTTTGTCCCATTTATAAATATTATTGATATTTTTGACTGCTTTATAAAAAAAATGATATTTTTCTTTGTAGTTTTATTTCTTAGCTATTCCAATGGTCCAACTAACGTTTTTTCGTAATCACAATAAATAAATTATTATCATGATCCAACAAGCGTGCACCTTAAGCCTAAACCGGCATCGCCTTTGTAAGGGAGCTGGTAAAGATGCCGCTTCGTACATTCGTATCTGGTCTAGGTAGGACAGCGCCCCCCTTGTGACGTATAATCCATCGTATGTGTTCATCTCTTGCTAAGCGATATTGTCGTTGTCCTTGTTTTTCGCATCATAATGAGAAATAAAACAACAGAGGCACACATTTACTGTGTCCTGTGCCCATCTTCTCGGAATTCTCGGAACGTCGCTCAACGCCCGGCCGTCCAGTGTCGTGCCAACGCGGTTTGCGCTGAATATTAGATTAAATAATAATAGACATTGAGGAAAATATAAAATATGTAAGTTATTTTTTTTTTTTGGTTTATTATACTAGGGCACGTGCCAAGTGCCTTTACGGGCAAACCGCCACTGCCCCACGAATCTATTGTAAAGCTTTAGTTTGTATTTTAGTTTGCTATAACATACAGTATGGTTCAAATGAAAGGAATAAATTCATTATAATGGAAGTAGTTGGTTTTTCGAAAAAATGCTCGGACAGGTTAATTTTGTTTACTCAAAGCGCAGATTTTTAAATAGAATTCAATTTTCCCCCACTTCCCATTTTTGGGCAGTGACGTCATTGACAATTTTTTTAAATAGTAACCCCAATTTTTTTTTCTTGATTTTGTTAGATCTTGCAATTTCCTACTCGGAAACATAATATTTAAAATGTCTTACATAACAATTTTTTTTGAATAAAAGTCATTTAAAGATTAGACACATCAATTTTATTTTATTTTGAGAACACAATAATTGATTAAAAGATAATTATTTGTAATTAAGTGCTTAATCTAACAAAATAATAATAATAACAATTATAATAATAATAATAAAAAAGAATTTGTGAAATTATCAATAAATTATTTTTATTATTATTTTTTTTTTTTTCAGATGAAGCACTTAATTACAAATAATTTTTTATTCATTTATTGTGTTTCAAAATAAAATAAAATTTATGTATCTGATCTTTAAATGACTTTTATTCAAAAAAAATTGTTATGTCAGATATTACAAATATTATGTTTCCGAGTAGGAAATTGCAAGATCTCTCAAAATCAAGAAAAAAAAATTGGGGTTACCCTTTAAAAAAATTGTCAATGACGTCACTGCCCAAAAATGGGAAGTGGGGGAAAATTGAATTCTATTTAAAAAATTGCGCTTTAATTAAACAAAATTGACCTGTCCGAGCATTATTTCAAAAAACCAACTACTTCCATTATAATGAATTTATTCCTTTCATTTGAACCATACTGTATGTAAAACCCTTCAGTGCAAGAGATCAAGCATTAAAAAACTCAAATAGTCTAAAAAAAAATAAACCAAAATAATAACTTAAAATAAAATATGCAATATTTTTGTCTGTAAGTATTATTTCCAGGTTATAAAAAAATAGTTTTTATAATTTCGATATATAATCGCAGCAAATGTCAGAATGATCTACTTTACGTAACCAGCTGCATATATTGAACATTTTGAAACTGGTTACGAAAATTCATTCTGTCACCAGTTACAAAAAGGAAAAAAAAGAAAAATAAACTTTTTTTGTTTTTTTTTAAATCAATGTACATTATTATTAAAAGTTTTTATCAAAGAAGGGCAGGTTGACTTATAAAAATAGAATTTTGTTAAACTTACAACCTGGTAATAATATTTTTTTGATTCCTATTTTTCATTCTTAATCAACAGAAAATAATTTAAACACAAACACGAAAAATAACCCACTTTCTCGAAATCTAAATAACTTTAACAAGCAATACAAACGCACTACAAGTAGGTGAAAATAAAATGAATATGATTTTTTGTTTGTCAGTGAAGTTATGTATATGCAACTAATAATACAAGAAAGTAATATTGGTTGCCTAGATGTGAGTAATTTTTTACCAAAACACAATTTTATAAATAATCTTGCCAAATTTAGAAAAAAATATTGTATATATGTTCATGTTGCGGGACCTCGTTCTGCTTGTTCCGCAAATATTCACTTGTTACATAAATAAAGTATTTCGTAACTGGTTGTATAAATAGCTATTAAATGTATGTTATAATGCACGTTATGAACTTGACTTTAGGAATATATTTTTCAGTTTAAAAACTACATAATTTAGGTAAATAAAATGAATGAAACGCACTTAAAAAGTCTACTGTCACTGTAATTGTCAATGGAACCAAAATTAAATTATCACCAAAGAGGTTAGAAAGGGTAGAGGTAACATAGGAAGCATTTATCGCTGCGCGAATTTTGCCAAAACCGAAAAACTGGGTGGAAGGAGTAGGGAGATGTTCTGGGCCGGACCCTAATATTTGTATTGTGGTACCTAATTTTGGTAGGTAATTGAAAGATGAAAAG